ACCTGTTGTTGCAAGAATTCTTTCGTGCTTTGAGTCTTCCATGCAACCACCGTAAATACGATCGCGACGACATGTACCTGGGTGGTTGGCGGCCGGATGCTCTGGTCTGACATTCTTCTTCTTTTCTATCAAACACCTTTCATTCTTATCTCTTTCCCTTTTTTGTGTGTTTGTTACTCTCTTGTAAATGGGGGTTGGCGGGTGCTCTGGTGTGGTTTGCTTCTTCTTTCCTATCAAACATCTATCGTCCTTACCTCTCCTCCTTTTTTAAAATGTTTGTTACTCTCTTGTAACACCTCTAATCTTCTGGCGCTCATATGACCTTGTCTGCAGTTGCGAGCGCCGTAAAACCTCTACAAAAACGAACTCTCTTGTAACACCATTAGTTACTAAAAACTAAACTGAAATAAGTGTGTGTTCAGTCATGCCACCGCCGTAAATACGACATGTACCTGGTCTGAAGTCAACCAGGACTCAAAGCTGGTCTTGACGGGACCGCCGCTATCTTCCTTCTGGATTTTGTTGGGATTTTTGTTTTATTTTTGTGGTTATAATTTAACGTTTATGTGTTTTTAAAGTAAAAATAAATTATTTCTCTGGGTCGATTTAATGTGACGTCTCATTTTTTTAAAATTGGGCTTGGGTGTACAATGATTCTGTTTGGAGGGTCTTTGGAATGAGAAATGACTGAGTTTATTATTTCGGCGTCTTGATCTTGTTTGAAGAAATGAACTTGGGCCTCACTACTATCGTTGTTTGCCTTAAACATATTGATGACCTTAGTGACTGTAAAAAATCTTATTATCTATCTTTTGATTGTTACCATCTTTTGTATTCTTATGATAACAACACCGCGATTTGCTCGCTGACCGACCTCAATACCCACCATGTTCATGTACTTCAATACCTGCCGTGTTCATATACTTCAGTACTGTACCCAGATCAAAGATCGTGTATAGTAGAGAAGAAGAGGGTAGTAGAGAATCGGTACATGTATTAATAGTCATTGACAGCCCCCGCCATGTCTTTAATTAAATTTCAGCTTGCCTCGGCAAATGAGGGTGCGGTGGCAGAGCCGTTAATGCGCTCGTCTCTTAAGCGGAAAATCCGGGTTCGATCCTCGGTTCGGACGCGGATTTTTTTTCGTTGCCTCCTGCCCAGGCAGCAGTAATTGGTACCTGACTTCGAGTCGGGGAAGTAAAGGCGGCGTGGACAGGTACTGGCCACCCTACCACAATATGCCGAAGTCCCAGGAAGTTGTCTCACTAACAAGGCAATCCCCAACGTCCGGATCGGATGCGGGAACGACTTTTTTACACGTTTACATACGGTCTCGAATCTGGACCTCCCAACGAATCAGCGGACAGCAGTAACCAAGGGTGAAGGCTGCGATCATCGTTGTGACGTGTTTGTCTTGTCCAAGTCTACCTCCCTGTGCTCTCTCTCTCTCTCTCTCTCTCTCTG